CAAATATTTATTGCTCGTCTAGACCGAGCGAATGCTATGCTCCATAATTGCTCGTACACACGTAACGCGTCGTTCGCGAGAACAATTGGCACCAATATTTCATTATTTTGAAAATATCAATGTAAAGAAATTTGTAATTTGGACTCTATCTCGAATAGTTTCTGTATTATTTTAAAATGTGTTTCACTTATTTCTTATTAATTTTTTAATTACTGTTTGTATTGAGGTCCTATTTTTAATAATGTCTATGATGTTGTCTATTCTGTTTCAAAAACGAAAATGGCTCGTTTTATAGAAATTCAACTGGAGACAGTGCGACCTCCACCAATAGTCGCTACGGAGGAGGATTTCGAGTTAAATTGTGGCGCCCAATTAGCGTAAGTCTTTCTATATTTTAGATATATCTTTTTTTTTCTTTTTTATTTTTTTCATGTTATTGTTTATAGGGTCAAGAAGGGTGAAGCTGGAGGGCGACTGATTCATTGGGAGCACTGTCGCGCGTACGTTCTCACGGCCGTGGAGAGACAAATGGAGACACGGATTGGTAGGGAGATTGCGGAACGGGAGGTTTTCAATCCTCCCAGAAGGAGACGCGGCCCGGATGAGCCGGGTTGCTCCTTCTGGGAGGACTAGAGACGTTGCAAGCGGACAAGGTGAATACACCATATATATACATAGATCATTGAATAATAATTAACGAAATATTTATAAATTTATTGTTTGTCAAACTTTGTTACAGATTGAAGCGGAAAACCAGCGCATAAATTTTCTATTTTTTTTTTAAATAAAAAAACTGTTATCTTTTATATCAATATATATAGTCCAAATACAAAATATTATAATAAATTGTACTTTTCGCACTAAAAGTGTTATTTTCTTAGCGTGTGTCCCCTTCTTTTATTCTTAAATGTAGTTTTGGTTTTTGTTCTTTTTTTAATTTTCTTTAATCCGAAGGGTAAATTGGCAAACAAAAATCGCTCAAAATTATACAACATCAATGGATACATAATGTCGAGAAACGTGTATTAGACCCATGATTTTTTTTTACAGATTTTTGTAAATTTTAATAATTAATTCTAAGTCCGAAAGGAGTATTAATTTTGACAAATGGACCAAAATTAGACTATACCAGTAGATAGACAATGTCGAGAAACGTATTTTAGACAAATGATTTTTGGACCGAATTTTTCAAATTTTCCTAATTATTTCTGAGTCCTGAGGGAGTCTTTTGGGAAAAATTGAATAAATCAGGAGACACGGTAGTGGCTTGGTGTCAAGTGTTTAAAGCCATGCAGGGTCTCTTAACGCGAGCCGTTGCGAGCACCCGAGATTTTGAGATCTCAATAATGGTTGAACCGATTAAGTTCTAATTAGGCTTAATCGATAGCTTGGGTTTGATTTGTATAATGAAAGTGTCTTTATTTTTTCTGTACGTGCCCTACGAGCAGAGATATTTCAATGCAAAGTCCGAAATGTGGGAATTTAAGATTAAGAAACGTCCTCATCATCATCATTATTGTCGTCGTCGCCCAGTTGCGGGGTGGAGGAAATGTCCTTTTACAATTTCGGACGCAAGAGGCGCTAGAACGCTAAATTTTTAACCTTGCAGTACGCTCGTCTCGTACGCTTTAATTGATGTATATGTCAAAATAATCGTTTGATGTGTGTGATAATACAATACAACAGATAAAACAGATTAGTGTGCGTTTAATGATTTTTTTATTACGATTGGTTTCTGCACTTAAATCTAGAAAATCTAAATAAAAGCAAGAATTAATCATATTAAAGAATCACTGAGCACTCACTAATCTGTTCTCTCTGCTGAACGCATATATTTTTTCC